AACGAAGTTTTTGGTCAGTTTTCAACAAATTCGTTATATCGGGGTTCTCGATTTAACGAAACCCCGATTTAACGAACCAATTTCCCCAGTCCCTGGCACTTCGTTAAATTGGGGTTCCACTGTACCATGCTTTACATATACCATCATTTCTTTCCACACATTCTCACTCATTGACAAAAACTAATCCTAGCAGTATGCGGGATGTTTGTCACATTTGAACCCAGTTATATGGTCTAAGCTCCCACGAGTCTCCTGTAGCTCAGTGGTAGAGCGTCCGACCGGTGTACAGAAAGTCACAGGTTTGACTGCTGTTGGGAGAACTCAGACTGGGAGAACGTTTTTTTTTTCGAGTAGCTTGCTGACTGATTAACATCTTTATAGTAATCTTATATTTCTACCAAGCTTAACATATACCATCATTTCTTTCCATACATCATTATGATACATCTATCATACCTGGCTTGTTATCTGTGGGAACCATTTCTCCAGACCACGAACAGTGAGTACTTCGTCGCTGAATGTCTCCTCGCAAATCAGTCGTTCTCCTGGTTTCATTTCAAGGAAGTGCAAACAGTCCTCATGCGAACACGAAGGTTGGCTGTGGTTTGCACACTCGTGACCTTCCTGCAGACAGTAGGGGCATGTAACACACAACTTGTACCGCAGTCCGTTCAGGTATGGGAGCTCCTTGGACAAATCTTGCAATGTGTCTTCCACGAACAATCGCACACTTCTTGCCACTTCTGCATCTACAGACGTTGACAGTGAAATTGCTTCATCTTGATTTCGGAGCTTTAGGACAATTTTGATGCAACTCTTTTTGCAAATCAGAATCAAATTGTGAATTACCTGCCTCCCAATAACAAACCAAGCTCCATTTAGGTACAGTTTTGGGGACTGTTTGGCCCCAGTCTCGGAGCACCAGGAAATGGCTCTAGAAACAAGCTGCAAGAAGAGTCCATGAGGAACAAACCCAACCAGAAAGTGAACATACATTGGACAGGGATCATGGTACGAAGGCGCTACGTCACAAAGGCTTTCAGGTGACGACTTGAGTTGAGCTGGCACAAAGTATTTTACATCAGTTGGAGAGGGTGAGAACTTGGCGATCAATCCAAACCGCTCCATCATGTCCAAGATGTCTTTCTTGATAAGGCCTTGCTGGATGAACTTGTTAAACACGTGATCAACAAGTTCCATGCTGAGGACACCGGTTTTCTCGACTTCCAGCCAGTACTTGGAATTTACAGGGTCCTGAAAAAACAAATCAAAGCATCACGTCATTCCATTCCGTTTTTTTTTAATTTTCTTAGTTTATTCAACAATAACCACAGGTCCCTTGTTCACATCGTATATTCAAGCACAGATTATTCGTCTGTCAGATTATTTTTAACCCGTACTTTTATAGTAAAATTTGTTTTAACGTTACATTTAAGTGTGTAATGGTGAATGGAATACATACTGCCAGAGGCGGATCTACGGGAGGAAGGTCATGGGTTCGATTCCCGTCGGGGAATCACGAATTTTTTCTTTGTAGTCCCATGCTTGTGACATGCTGAATAACTTTATTTATCTATTTAACTGAAGTTTAGACAGCGTTTAAGGAAACCAATAGCCGCACATATTCACCACGTCTAGAACGCTGACTACATGAACTATGTGTGGCTCATCCACGTTGAAATAATACAATTAATCATCCGCATAGTCGGGGTTAAAGAGTCCCTGTATATTATAAACCTCAATTCAGCTGTAAATAATCGGCCCAATTATCGAGTTTGAACACAAAGCGAAGCGAAGCGAAGCAAGGCCGGAGGCCGAGCGTGTAAGGTTGATGACTTTGTCTGTCGAAGAGCTCAGGCCGGATCAAGTTGCGTGTAGAGTTGACGGTTATTTTTATTTCTAAGGATGGTGTTTGGCCACATGACGTCACACAGTGCGCTCGTGGCCTAATGAAGCAAGCTCTAGCTAGTTGTAGCTAAAGTTTGGTTAGGGCCGATTTAGACGGTACAACTTTGTCGCATGCGAGAGTTACAGAAGTCGCATGTGACAAAGTTATACCGTCTATTAAAATCGGCCCTTACAGAGTATAACTTGGCACTGTTTCTTACCGTTTTATGAAAAGGTGGAATTGTTATCAGCTGCTTGAATAGGTCAATCAGCCACTGAGCCTTGAGAACAACTGTGCTGCAATGCTTAATAATCAATCCAATGTCATGATAGAAATTAACCATGGTGGTGAACTCGTACTCATCAACTATGAAGCACTCTTCTCTGGCGTACCTTTGAAGCTGTTCCAGATTTATGTGATAGATGCGTTCAGCAACCAAAGCTTCGATCACTCTTTCGAAATTGAGCCACCTGGAGAGAGAACAACCAAAGAAACAGGTTCATCAGCAAAAAACACAGCTAAATAATACACAACCTAATGCCCTTCGCGGTTAGCTTTTATATTGGAGTTAGGGATTTCAAGTATCCGTTAGCTGGTGTCGGCGTTCTAGTGGGCATGATTCTCGCAAGGTAATCCATCGTCCGACTCGAGTCTTCTTGGGGTCAACATTTTTTAACTAAAAAAAAGGTACAACAAGTGTGATTTTGCGGTAATCGTGGTGGTCGTGTCTCACGACATGAACTGCGTGTAGAATAATAGTCACTTCCATTAAAATAAACAGAACACGAAGCCGCTTTAAAAATTAAGTGCAAGGAATCCACTGAATATGAAACCAATCTGTTCTCGAGTTCGTTACTGTAGGTTACTTTACTTGATTGGTATCTTCTCTCCCATGTATGGCTCCTGTTTCAACACCTCCATGATTTTGTTTCGCAGTGCTTCAATTCCGTCATTTCTAGGCATGTCAGTATTTTCTTGCCCTGCAATGTTAAACAGTACGAGCGTGATCATGCTTTAATTTATCAGTGTATCAGTCAATCCGTTAAATACCAATGCCCTATTGGTACCATCAGTATTCTAACAGGGACAAGCCACCGCTATACCATCGTGTTAGAATTCTGATCGTCACACAAGCTATTCAACGATAACATCCACAAGCCACCGAATGGAAAAATTTACAATAATACGTTAAAAGTCTGCACTCGGGCTAAATTGACCCACACCACCGGCGCTTATACCGGCGCTTATTAGCGACAGGGAATATTGCTACTCCCTCTGGATGGGATACAAGTCCATCGCAGGTTACCCCCAGCATTTTGTCGGGTTTCCCGGGTGAAGAGAGGCACTGTGAGGGTAAAGTGTCTTGCCCGCTTGATTCGGAATTCAATATGCAAAGTGACAAACCATTAGTCCACCGAGCCACTCACTAATAATATAGTACATAGTTTATATTTCCATGGTAAATTACAGCAATTAAAGTTTTGGTATCACTCCTCGGATCAAGGCTTCTTTTTCAACAGTGCCGGTAATTAGCTTACTATATAGTTTAATAGTTCGACAACCCAAGGACGAGATCAATATTATTCTTGCAGCGTGAATCAAGATCCCCGTCCTTATCCAGTATTTTTCCAATAATCAGTGAACTGGCTGGATACCTGACTCTTAAAAACAATCAGTTATGTTTCAAAAAGTGCGTGGGGCCACCCAGACAATGAAAACTAATCACATTATTGCAGAGCAGAATAGAGAATTTTAACTCGCTTAATTTTAAGTTGAAACGTTGTATTGCATTGATTGGCTCAAACAATAGTGGGGAGACGCTTCTCCCCACTAGTGGGGAGAAGCGTTGCGTGACGACACAAATAACGGCTGCGTAGGAGACTACTAAAAAAAAATCAACTTTATTTCAACTGAAGTTGAAATTCCTTGTTTTCATTCTGAAACATGGTTTGTTTTAAGTTGTCTAAGTGGCCCCAGTTATAGTAGTAACACTGTAATTCATATATAAGCAGTTTCTGGACCCTACATATAGTATACAGTGATGTTGTGTTACCGGTGCTCGGCTGTGAATGTCCTCTTGTGTTATCGATGCTGAAGAAAGGTCGGATCACTTGTCTCACGTATTCCTTACCGGAAATTCTCCTTTCTATCTGCGATTTCATAACTGCTGCATCCTCGAATGGTTTGTCAGCATGCGTGCCTACAATGAATACCGGTGGTCGTAGATAAGGCAGCTTTTTGTCTGTGCTTTCAACTGTTTCTTCTCTCGTTTGCGTTATACTGTGAACTGTGACAAGCCATGATAGCAAATTCTCCAAATTTGTTTCACCATTTGGATTTTCCAGAAAAACGTCATGGATACCTTGTCTAGCACAGGGTTGTGCTGTGGCATTTAATGGCTTGCTGAGGTTGCACACCAGGAGATACACGGCTCGTGAAGAAAAGAAGATAGGATGAGAAGCATAATATAGGTGCTGTCCGGCAAAATCCCATAGATCGACACTTACAACAGAATCGTCTTTCTCGATATCACTTTCAACATGTCGGCCTCTGAGGTAATTCCAATACTGATCTGTAAAGTCCTCTGGAGGTGAAGTAGCATCAATTGCTAGTGTAGGCTCTTTAGATGTTGTTCCACTGGGATCAAAAGCAGCAGGCTCTTTAGATGTGTTTCCACTGGGATCAAAAGCAACCTAAAATAGGGCCAATAGTGTTATATTAAAACATGATTACAGCTAACGTTCTTTCTTGATTGGACAGTGCGCCAAATAGCACTGACCGAGTGGAATGAGGTACGAGGTAAATATACGTTTAAGTTCAAGCTATGAACTTTCCTCAGTTTCAAAACAGCACTCAAGTCTATCAACATCAGAACGCTATACGCATCAGTCTCAAAAAAGCCTCAGCTGATGTATTGATATTACTTTTGCCAACGAAATTCTGTATTTTAAGTGTCCCTGTTCAGTTAAATGTTACAAGAAAAACCTCTATTTATTAGGAAAGAAACGAAGAGATAAGTTAAGCTTGGTAGAACTCTGAGAAAGATATTAATCAGTCAGTGACGATCAGTGACGCAACTTACGTTACGCGGAAAAGAGGTTTTCCGACCGAGTTCTTTAAACAGGAGTCAAACCTATGACCTTCCGCACCTAGTCGGACGCTCTACCATTGAGCTTCAGGAGACTCGTGGGAGCTTAGGCCATATAACTAGGTTTAATATTTCAAACATTAAAACAGCAGTTAGCATTAATTAACACCAATGGTTTAAACTATATGTACTGACAAACCTGACTGGTGTGGGGACCATTTTCGTCTTTTACATCCAAACCCACTTCGTCTCTATCTTTTCTATCAAAATCACCCTTTTAGATCGAGGCGGCCGTGCACGAGGAAGCCGTGTTTTTTTATTCAACCAGAGTTGCAGCTACCAATCTTGCAATATGTTTAGAAAATTCAAACGATCCTGGTTTCTCATTGGTGGATGCCAGTTCTTGATTTGGTCAACTTCAATTTCACACTTTGAAGGATCCACTTCAATTCCCTCAGTGCTCTGTTCTTTAGGGTCAAACGGCAGACCTAAGAGAGACTTCTTCAAACTTGTTTTTCCAGCACGATCCTGGCCAATTAGCAATATTCGACCACGGTAAACGTTCACAGCTCCATCCCTAAGAGCCTTTTCGTAGACCATCAGGGCCTTTCGTCCACGTGCTCGTATTGCTGCAGGGCCTAATAGGAGTCAAAGGGTCCATAGATTAAGAGTGTGTCCATGTGAAAACCAGGCAGGGCCAGGCAAGAGGCGATAAAGCTCAAATCACCGATTTGGCTCAAACTCGGCACAAATGTTGGGTGTCATAAGTAACTAATTGAGACAAAACAATAAGTCAAAATATCAGAATCCCTGGGAAATATGGGCCCCCGGAAATAATGACCATTTTGCACTAATTTATGCATAATTAATTAGCTAACTTTGGTTGAGCAGTTCTACAATAAGAAAAGCTCTCTGAAAATGAAATCCACTTGATCATGTTGTGCATTTATCAGACTCAAAGTACAATAATTTATTTCAGCTGGTCGATTTGATTTCTCGCCCTCACTCAATCTTAAGTAAAGGACACATTTTGAAGTGTTGGCAATAGCCTTGAATTAAAGCGAAATATCTGCAATGTGCAACAACCTATATACATTATTCTTACATAGATAGTGAAAGGAATCACTAAAGTTCTCAAAAAAGTCATAAACTCTTTGGGGACTTTAATATTTTATCAGTGCTGACCTACTATAAATACACAAAAAAACGATTTTTGGTCATTTCATCAAAATTCACTTAAACACAAAAGCCGTTTATTTGTCTTAATGTAACACGAAATCGGCAAGAAAACTCTAACTAAGCATCGTTCTATCGATAAATAGTCTAGAATCTGTGAATATAGGTACTTGAGGCATTTCTTATAAATATTTCAAAGCTACATTTTATGGCCTTTTCGTGACATCGTTGTCAATACAACAGTGGATGATATATTTCACAAGTTCACTCAATCCAAGTTTTACATGTATCACAGAATGGGAAAATGAAATAAATGCTACATACATGTCACTTAGATGCGATTTTGTCGCGATTTTGTGCTCTCTTCGATTCGTTTGAAGTCCAGTTTCGTCAGACCGTGTCATCTGTGCCATTGATTATTTGCTTCGAGGCGCGTTTCAATGATCCATCGTTGTCCATTCTTCGTCAAATAAATAAACAGGTTGTTGCTTTTCTAAATATAGTCGAGAAAGGTTGTTTGAAATCCACGGAGAGTCACTACCGGCTATTAAATGTATATAAAATCCCACGACAAAAAGTCCGCCATCTTTGGTAAAATAATTTTGAGCCTGCTGTTTCGGTCAGCGGTTCGTTAATTCTGCATGTCTTGTCACGCAGGATGTCACGGAGTGTTTGTATAAAGTCATAAATATAAACCGGGTAAATAACCTCTTTATATCCAATCGATAAGCTGAATAATTTGAAATCTTATGAACCACCTTAACCTTATAAGAAATGCCTCAAGTACCTATATTCACAGATTCTAGACTATTTATCGATAGAACGATGCTTAGTTAGAGTTTTCTTGCCGATTTCGTGTTACATTAAGACAAATAAACGGCTTTTGTGTTTAAGTGAATTTTGATGAAATGACCAAAATCGTTTTTTGTGTATTTATAGTAGGTCAGCACTGATAAAATATTAAAGTCCCCAAAGATTTTATGACTTTTTTGAGAACTTTAGTGATTCCTTTCACTATCCACGTAAGAATAATGTATATAGGTTGTTGCACATTGCAGATATTTCGCTTTAATTCAAGGCTATTTCCAACACTTCAAAATGTGTCCTTTACTTAAGATTGAGTGAGGGCGAGAAATCAAATCGACCAGCTGAAATAAATTATTGTACTTTGAGTATGATAAATGCACAATATGATCAAGTGGATTTCATTTTCAGAGAGCTTTTCGTATTGTAGAACTGCTCAACCAAAGTCAGCTAATTAATTATGCATAAATTAGTGCAAAATGGCCATTATATCCGGGGGCCCCATATCTCCCAGGGATTTTAATATTTTGACCTATTGTTTTGTCACAATTAGTTACTCATAAAACCCAACATTTGTGCCGAGTTTGAGCCAAATCGGTCATTTGAGCTTTATCACCCCCTGCCTGGTTCTCTCATGGACACACTCTTAAGGCTGACTCGTGGATTTGTCAAAATAATTTACCTATTGTCACAGTATAGACTATAGTCACTAAAACGCCTGTTGCATGGATGCGTAATGGTCAAACACTAAACACCTCAACCTAAATAGGGGTTATCAGTCCGTGCATTTTCGGTGCTAGCTAATTCATAGAATGTGTTGCTCCAACTACATTTTCGTGGAATTGAAAATGTTATCCGACAAGAAGACAAATTTTTCCTAAAAAGTATCATGAGTAATATACATTGTTGATTTGTAAATTAAGATCAAATCCACTTAATTGTGATATAAAAAGTGTGCGAGGACCTGTGAGGCGCTTTCAAAAAATGCACAATTACGTTTGTCAAGTTCTTCTCAAAACAACGACAATCAAGTATCACCTTCAAAGTATGTGCAATTCCTGGTGTGAAGTGAATCCACGTTGAAGTACAAAATTTACAACCCCAGAAGACAATTTCATCAATCCCATCATATTTTTGTGAGATCCTACATTTCTCAGTACATGGCAATGTATCTGGACTGATTTTGTAAACTACTTTCTCTATCAGTGCAGTGTCATCTTATCTGTAATTTCAAAAGACTAATTATTTTATAAATGATGTTCGTCTAGATTAATCAAAAGGCCTTTTGGCTTATGTCGTGAAAACGGGTTTTGCATTTTCTTTCTGAAAAAGCTGATCAACCAATAAAAAATAAACGATTCCGTTGAGCTGTCTCGTATAACAGAGTCCTAAAAATATCTCTGTATTTTATATTTTCTATGTCCTAGAATTTATCCATTGGATTCCTATACAGCCCTTATATTTTCGCTGTTTTGCAATTGTTAATTATGTGCACATAATGAGTATTAAAATAACAACAATTCGTCTCAATGTCAATGTTCCTGAAGAAATGACTCCTATAATCAAAACGAAATTATTTAACTTTCTATGGAAAAACAAGAGAGATAAGATTAAAAGACCTGGGCTCTATCAAGATCTGGACAAAGGAGGCATACGCATGACCGACATAGAAATTATGTTTAAAGCCCTCAGGTTAGCTTGGATTCCAAGACTTCTTACCCAGGGAAAAAAGAACTGGAAAACGGTTCCAGATTATTACTTAGGAAAACTAAGAGGTCTGAACTCTCTCTTAAGGTGTAACTATAATTCAAATATCTACAAGGTTTGCCAGCGTTTTACAAAGACATTCTAGCACATTTCAAGGAATTGAAGACTCTTTATAGCTATGAACAAGCACAAGATACCGTGTTCATCAATGAATGGTTCAGGAGAGATATTCTGTCTATTCAAGATCTGCTAAACAAAGATGGGCAGCTAATGTCATACCAGGAATTCAAAAACAAATACTCCTGTAAAACGAATTTCCTTCACTTCAATCAGGTCATAAGCGCTATTCCGAAACATTTATTGATCAAAGCTAAACACATAGAGCCAATAAAAAAAATCATACTCCGGGGATGATCATCTTTTCCAATTTGATGATTCAACACAACTTCAATTAGAAAGAGCTAAAACGAGCGACTTCTATTGTCTTCTAAACTCCAAAACACACACGGTGAGTCAAACTGGTCCAATGAGATGGGATAACACTATGAACTTGGATAGGAACATTTGGCAAAACGTTTTCACTTCATTAAGAAATGTGTGTAAAGAAAGCAAATTAAAGGAATTCCAATTTAAACTAATTCACAGAATAATAGTTACCAAAAAGGAGCTCTATCGATACGGTATAAAAACGGATGATGAATGTCTGTATTGTGGTGAGCATGACTCCATTGATCATACGTTTAATGATTGTCAATTTGTAAAAACCTTTGTAAACAAGGTTATCAACTGGTTTAATCTAACGAACAAATCTCAGTTTGCCCCGACCTCTGAAGAAAAACTCTTTGGCATCATGTCTGGTCCATATGAAAAACGTTTATTAGAGAAATTCAACTACACAACCCTTTTTATGAGATACTATATATACACTAGTAAGTTGCATAACAAAGCTATCCTCCTTCCCGTTTTCGTCGAAAGAATTCTACCCACATTTCAGCTTGAAAATGTTTAGACAGATAGAGATTGGACTCAATTACTGTTCGATTGTAAAGTAATGTAAAATACATATAAATAGAAAGTGGTGTAAAGTTTTAAGTGCAGTAATGTGACAGTTGACAAATAAAGAATTAAAAGAAAATTCGTCTGGACTATCGACCTTTTTAATATTGTAAAGGTCATTTTTTTAAATAAATTTTCAGGTAGTCTGCTGTATGTTTTAAGAGCCATTCTCCGAGAATGTCGAGAATCGGAAGACACTCAAAAAAAAATAATTTTTTTATATTTTGCCAAAACATTCCTTTCGGTGTACTAACTTAAGGAAAAATAGTTAAGGTCATTCCTTAGTATTGCACTGCGCATCCTTTCTGCGCATAATTTCGCGCGTAATTAGCGCGCGCAACATTAAAAACAT